TATTACCCGATCAGGACGCATTAGCAAACCACCAAAGAAACTTGATTGTTGAACTTTATTTCAGACATTTATATCCTTGTTACATTGTTTAGTTATTCATATTTTTGTTGGACTTGTCAAATTATCAAGAACCTTAAAAAAGGAAGGAGGATGTTATGATATACATAATTATATGCATAGTTATAATGACGTAATCCTGTAAACCAGTCATGCGAATCAGTCAATAAACATGGCGCTCGACCACTTCAACAATGTTTACATAATAGTTTGCGAATAYTTGGAAAATATCGTATTTGCAATAATCTTCAGGGCTTAATTTTTAGGGTTTTTTTAATTCTGGTGCCCAACATCGTGCAATGTACAAAATACTTTTTATTGTGAATGGAGTAATTGATAAAACAGAAATGAATGAAAAGTGTGTATTTATGTGTGTAGATATTTTAAACTCTTCATGTGTAGCTTTTTGGTTAAATCTGCTTTGATTGTTGTACACAACAACGCAAGACATGAGTTTTTGATTTGTSGGAAAATTTCCCCGTTCTAAATTAAATTTCAATTACTTTTCGAACCATTTATTAAAAATAATAATACGAGTAAAAAGGTAAAAAAAAAAAACACTAAATGTTAGCGATATTCTATCCTTAATTGTTTATTTTTGAGAAAAACTGAAGTGGCACGTTACTGGACCCGGTGGCACGAAACTGGGCACTCAAGTCGTCTCTGAAAAAAAGGTAATTCTAACAGTAATTAAAGTTTTTCGATAAATTAATTTTATCAGTGTATTAACAAATAAATCTGCTTTATTGAGGGAAAACATTAAAACGATCGAGGTTGGTATGCAAACGATATAGTGATTACGAACTGAAATGGCACTATACTGGGCAACACACTATAGTAATCTGTATCAGAAGTAGCATTTTGCTACTTCTGATCGTACATATATACATTTTTAAACTTTTTTAGTATTGCTGTTAGAGGTTTCTTCMCTGCAAGGATTAGCTGCATGGAACCCCTTTCCTTCACACTTACTACAAACTAAATCAGTTGTCTTTTTTCCTCTAACTTTATCTTTAACGAACACGTAGATTACGTGCAGAGAGCCTGTTTCTCCTTGCGGTCCAAACAACGCCAGAAGCGTCATAAAAAAGAAAAATGCAAAGAGCAACGAGAATCCAATGGTACAAAATATGAAAATACCAAACTGAAAGAAGAACAGAATTTCGGCTGCAAACATGAAAATCGCTGACCCTAGAGTTGTGCAGGCACCAGACAAGACGGAAATTCCAACATGACGAAAAGTGTGCTTTACTCGGTCTTGTCGGGTTATATGTGAGCTTGACACATAACCCTCGGCTAGATGGACCACATAATCAACTGCAAGGCCTACTACCAGGGTGAGATTGAGAGATTCAAGTACACCCAGCTTCCAACCGATCATGGGAATGATACCAATGACACCAAGTGTCGTACAGGAAATGGACAGCATACACAGTAAAGCGATAACCCAGTTTCCTATCATTATGACGAGAATTGGAAAAGTTACCGCAAGACCAAGGCATATCCCACGAACTGCATTGACCACAAGGACCTAGACAATAGATATAGTTAGCCTAAGTGGACTCCCCTTAAACAGACTAGAACTAGATGCTCCAGAGAATGACATGGAAAGCAAACTGCCCCCTGACCAGAGAGGATAATGGGTTTCTTTTGACATTCATCTGGATGTAAGTCGCATTGTACGTATAGGTGATTATTGAAATATACAGTTTTTGTGACGTGTGGCCTTATGTCACCGTGTATCAAGTGATGGAACCGCAACCATTCCACCTGATCGTCGTCAAGGAAATCTCTCCTGTCAGTGGTATCATCAGAGGATTTATCGGAGTCATRTATTACGATCTTAATATATTGAATTCTTAAAATACACGTGAGGAAAAAAACGATATTTCATTTCTCTTTTAAATCAGCTCACTTTCTGACTCAACTCGTTTTTGAAGGTGAGTTGTAAACTTCTTTTATACAATGTATACAAAC